CAAGCTTGAAAAATCTCGCAAACCAAATGCAACCATTCTTGCAATTTTTCTGGATAACTTATCCCTGCCAGAAAATCATCGAGATAAACTAACAAGACGGCGGGGTCATCGATTGTATAATGCAAGCAATACCCCATGAGACACCCAAAACGCAACCCCCATGGGGCTTTGGCACAAGAACTAGGTGACCGGAGAAATCGGGTGATCACCAACATCAAATGTGTAAAAAAGCATGGTGACAAAGAAAGCCCAAAGAGTAGGGCTTGGCAAGCAAAAGCTTTGCCCCCTATACGGAATTGCAAAAACATTCATCAGTGGTATGCATCCATAAATGATGGTACGCATCCTTGATATTAAAGCCGATCAGAAAATCGTTTCTTTTCAACAAGTGACCAAAATCCCGAAGTTTCTTATACCGCAATCCCATGTTGCAGAGATGACGATTAATCCGCGTAAATCCACACAAAGCCGGTACTGCATCACCCCATTCTCCTGGCCTTTTTCCACTATAAAAGTGTGGGAAATTCAAGAATCGGGACTGGGATCTACCTTGACGGTCGCCCCCATACTCAAGTAGTCTTCTCAGAGGGCCTCCCAACCCGCTCGCTCCTCCGCCAAACGGAGCGGGTATTCACCAAGGTCGAATGATGGGGGAGGTCCCTGCGGTCCCCATGGCAGTGGCATGCCCGAATGGATCCAATGGAGGACGTGTGATGGAGCTCCAATTCTCCAACATACTCAATGTCGTCTACGAGTGCGATTATAGGGGAAGTCCCTTATGCGTCCGGAGGTGGATGCACCGCTTGAGGCTGGCCCCGCCGCTTACCTTTCTTCCCCAGCTGGCCGCTCAAATTGGGGGTGGAATCGCTGCCCCCCGGCTTTCCCACATGGCTGGCTACGGCCGTCTTGGTCGCGAGCTTGACCTCTTGATTCAAAAGCTCCTTGCGGATGGCGCCGGGTGTCCCGTCGATCTTCTTGGTGGTGAATCCGCCGTTGGGCTCGCACAGACGGATCTAGGCTTGCAATGCCTACCAGGATCCTTCAAGGCCGTTGCCACGATGTTTGGCGTGCACCTGTTGAAGATGGAGCTGATCAACTTGTCGCTCAGTGATGGCGACTGAGACGCAGACGTAGGGCAGAAGGAGGTCGCGGATCGAAGGAGGGAGGCTGGGATGGGCGACCAGATCCATGAAGGCCGCCGTGTAGTCAAACTGCCACGCGACCCAAGGAGCCCAGCTTGCGGACTCCTGGAAATACCCTGAGTTTGGCTTAAGGGCGGCAGCGACGGTCTGGCCCTGGCTGGTCTTGCGGAAGTCAAACCAGGCTGGAACGCCCGTGAAGTCAGACCTAGCCATACTCTTGTTGACTGACCTGGGGAGTAAGCAGGGGTCGGAGACCCACGTGAGCTCTATCGGTCGGTTAGGGAGGCGCTGGTTGAAACGAAGCGCCTGGGCCCACAACCACTACTCAGCAGGGCTGGGGTTCATACAGGAAAGAGACGGCACTGAGGCCAGAGTGTCGAACCACTCTGTGGTTCCGGGCTATGGCAAAGCTTTGGCGCAAAGCGAAACAAGATAAAGGGGGCGCCAAGGGTCACGCCCCAAATAATTGTGCGCACTTGCCACCAAACTTCCCGCCAAACCCAAGGGCCAGCTTGACCGGTCCCCTTGTCTACGCCCAAGTTACAAGGATCACCCGGTTTCCCCTTGGATCCGGCGGTCAGAACTGACCCCGGGTACAGGGGTGACAGAAACCGGTGTTTGATGGCCCTGAAATGGCCCAGAAAGGCAGCCCAGCCCAGCATGGCCGGCGTGCGCCCACCCAACGTCGTCCTTTGCAGAAACTCATCAACAGGATAGTTAATTATATGAACACCCTTTCGTGCAAAATGTCGTTAGTGGATATTACACAAGTATAGAAATGGTAATGTTGCGCAACTTCAAAACATGTTTTTCTTTGATCTTCAGTATGTTTATTGTATTATGGGTCGATTGCACATATTGAACATAGTAGTTTTTACAATTTGCTCGGAAATCGAGATGTTGCACACTAATTATGCTATTGGCTCACTAACGACATTTTGCACGAAAGGCTGTTTATGAACGAACAAGAGTTTCTGAAGTTGTAAGCGCCTTGCTGGTGGCCTCAGTGCATGTGGCCTTTGCACACAGGTCGTGGCGTGTATCTCGACCAGTTTGGCCTTAAAACCAGCTTGCTTTGTTCCAAAACGTTTGAATTTCGGCGTGCACCCATGGCGTCCTCATCGCCCGAGCTCTTGGGTTTGTGACTGGAGTTGTGGGAATCGCTGCAGTTCCTGCCAGCGTTTTTTTCCATGTCGTTTTGGATTGCATGCCTCTGTACATGCATGGCCAGTGGGAAATTTTGGCCTTTATTTTGGAGGCCAAGTCGCTAGCGACGTGAATGCGAGGTGATCCGATTTTGCTGCCTTTCGTCGCGCTCTTTGACCCCTCTGTGGTAGGGGACGGATGAATTATTTTGAAGAGTTTTGCTGCGCCCTTCCGGAGGGTCTATGACCAGAATGGACCATGGATCTTTGCACTTGGGAACTCATCTGATGCCGCTCAGTGACTCTCAGGATCGCCGATGGGCGGGTCGGTTTGCTAGCGAGGCCCAATGCGCCAAGTTGCTGAGGCCAAGATTTTGCCACCCCCAATGTTTGAGGAGTGTTAAATGCTATACTATAGCATTAAAAGTCTTCGAGCACTGAGCTGACTAGCTTTTACAGAACCGGCCTGGGGCTGCTGTTTCATCCGCTGCTAACAAAGCCAGAGAAATAAGACTGGCAGTTAAAGGCCCAGACCCCACCCCACCCACCCACTCACCCAATCATCCAGGTTGAGCTGCGGAGCAGGCTCTTCCCAGCAAATCGAGGAGGCAAGCTCATATCGGTGACTGCATCAACAAGTTCTCGCGGTGCCCGTGTCCTTCCACAGTGCTGAAGCACTGGGCTGCAGCTAGGCGCCTCTTGCGACTACGCAAATGTCACAGCCTTTCACCCCAACAGCTTCCACACAACACAGCGTTGTGGGCAGATGCCAGCAGCGAGCGCGCGGCAGCTCAGTCTGCAGTGGGAAGCGACTGCCAGTAGGCATTGGGCAGCTTCTCCCATGTGCGTGGTCGGCCCAAAAGGGTCACTCCGTCGCCGCCACCCGCAACGATGTTCCACCATTGATGCGGGTGCAAGAGCGAGGGACACCCGTGGCCAGGGCACGGCCCCTGAAGATGGGGGAAGTCAAGAGTGGACGCCGCCGAAGGAAAAGACCGTTTTTCCTGGAGGTGGGCAGTTAATTTCGATGACTTTATTGCTCGCAGAACGGAGACTTTCCTGCTTCTTGTGGCCTCTGCGTTTCCTTTGTTTCGCGGGCTGCTGAAACGTGTATTTGCCCCCAAACGTGTCTCCCAGCGAAATTTTCTGTCAGCACAAGGTTCCGCTGGTATTGTGCCAGCTGTTGCAAGAAATTCACGTGCTTCACACCCCGCCCATGGAGGGGCCCGTTCACCCCCCACATGCGACACAGGCTTGACAGATCGCCCAGGCCACGCCGACGCTTTAGTCCAGTTCGATCAGCGCCTTTGCTCACGTCCTTCTGCTGCACCGTCACCTTAGAAGAGGACGACATGAAAAATGAATCGGATATACGGGGTAAGTTTTGTAGAAAATGATTAAGCCAAAGGGAGCGGTGAAAGGCGAGGGAGTTGGGGGAAGGGTTGGGAAGGGGTTTTGGAGCCTGCAACCACTGCGCATTGCAAAAACAGAGCACGAAACCTCCGAAGAAGGACTCAACGAATAGAATTGTCATTAATCCATTTCATTGCAAGAGAAAAAGAAGGCGGCCATAATCACGGGAACTTTATTTGGCAAAGGCCAGATGCTGTGTGCTTGACAAGCCGCACACCTTTATCATGTCTTCGGTTCAACCTGGACGCAACTGCCAGAGTGCCCCCAAACGCGAAAACTAAAGTATACATCGTCAGGCAGACACTGCAGCCGCTTCTTTTTGCCGAACACATCTGCCCGGCGGTCCAGAGCGCCTTCTATCCCTACAAATATTGTGGCAAATGGGCGCTGCTGTCCCACGACGCCCTGATGCTCACAATAGCATCAACACTGCAATATGTGCCCCTAATGGCACGCAACATCCTCCCTGTTCCCTCCCTCCCACCCCTTCCCCTGGGCGCTCTCCTCCTCCCCCTCCCCCCTTCCTCCCCCTCCGACCAGCCCAGCCCACCCCTGCCCTCCCTCATCTAGCACATATAAGGGCATGCTAACTGGAGTATCGTTCATTCAGAAACGCAAATTGCCCACGGGGGAAAATCGGAGGGCCTACACACAAGGAGGCACAAAAACTGCCCATGGCACCATGCTGCGACGTTCCCACAGACTTCCAGGCAGAGTCTCTTTGGTCCCGACTTCGAAATTCTAGTTTGGGGCCTCAAAAACGCGTGCCTCACAGGTCAAGCTGTTGGCTCACCAAGGTGCTTGCTGCATGACTCTGCAAAACGGCCAGCAGGGACCCAAACAGGAATGGCAGCCAGTCAGGATTCGCAGACAAACCATGGACTACTGTTACGCTTCAGCAATATGAAGTGGACATGCAGACACTGTGAGGCTGCCTTCCCAGACGAATCTCAAGGGCCAGCGCCACACCAGTGCTCGGAGCTCAGGCCGTCTCTACCATATTTCGAGCAGTGCCAGCATCAATGGCTCCCACATCCCAAGCTCGCTTTCTGTCATATCCGCTGCAGCCAATGTGAAAAATGATGACTGTGAACCATCTGTCGTTTATGATGATTCTGTGGGTACACATTGCAACCACTGCCCCAAGCAGATGCTGATCACCCACAGGGTGCCCATAGCCAAGACAATGGGAGAGGCTGCTGGCAGGGGCAGTCCCCAGGCAGCCTCTCATCACACCCGCCACACTGCAGCAGTGCTGAAAGAATGCCAGAAAGTCTGTCCACAACCACATAGGCACTGCTCAATTGACGGGATCTGAACCCAAATCCTTGACCCTCACTCCCTTGATTTCTTGATCAATCCCATCATCGTTCAGAGGCAGCTTCTTCAGCGGCTTCAGGGATTGAGAGGTTGGGCAGGCTTGAGCTGTAAGCATTGCTGGAGTTCCAATGTAGTGGTGGGGAACATCTGTAGGAACCTTAAGACCAGGAATGGCAGTCTGCATCACACGAATCTGAATGTGTGCCCCCCTCCAGCAGTGCTGAGCAATGGTCTTCCAATTGTGGGTATGTGGTCGTCTCCAAGAATGCTGATTGTACATCGATAGTATCATCGGTGACCAATGGTGCATCTGTGTGCATACTGCTCCCGCCATCTGACATCCGTGCACTGCCCTCCCGCATAGATGACAAAGAGCAGGAAATGGGCCTTGAATCCAAATTATCACGATCTGCCCCTGCAGACTTGGCACTGGAAGACACACAAGGCCTGGACAGTCGCCCCTTGTGCCAGACATCCCTGTCAGATCCACTGTGAGAATGCGGTTTGCTGCACATCTCCACCTCTGGTGTTCCACATCTTCTGGATCTACTTCTGTCAGAATGGCTGACGATGATACCAGTTCCTGCCCCCGCCCCAGAACAGACCTCACTATCTGTCTCCTTTGATACCTCAGGTATACCCTCAGGCTCAACCTGCCAAGTCAAGTCGTAGTGCTCCACTTGGGAACACTTCTTGTGCAGGTCCGCATCATGCTCCGTTGACACGGAGACGTTCATAATGCAGTTGAAGGGTGCACTGACATAGGCCTGACTCAGGTGCACTTCAAGCTCCGCTGACTTTGTCTGGTCCGCCACCGAGTTGCCCTGCATCCACAGTTGAGCAGAGGGAAGGATCGTCGAGTGGGGCAATCGAAGCGAGTTTGCTGTGTCCATGGACACCTCGCTCGGAACAGTGTAGCTGTCGTCCTGGGCCGAAGATGAGCAGCCAGCTGTTGAGGAGCCCGTGACAGTAATGCCCACTTCCTCTGCGATCAACTCCAATATACTGGGGGCCGTCATTTTACCCAACCCAGCGGCGATCTCCATGTTCCTCAGCCGTAAGCTCTCTTTGTCCTTAAACAGACCCGCATCCACCTGCTTCCTCAAGGCTGTGAACACCCTGGCTATGAAATTGAAATCTGGGCGGTTCTCTGGCTTTGGAGATAAGCAGACGACGCAGAGCATGGCATATGGGATTGGGCACATAATTGGAAACTTGGGGAACAGCGGGTGATAACGCATGCCCACTTTGGGGTCCGTGTGGTAGCACTTCTTCGAGTGGTACAGTTCCCACAGGAACACCCCAAACGAGAACACATCGCACTTCTTTGAAAGCCTGCCATGCTGGCACAGCTCCGGTGCCATGTAGAACGGAGTCCCTGCCCGGTGGTTTGATATGTGGCTCTGAAGCAGGCCCATCTTGATGCTCAATCCGAAGTCCGCTATCTTTGCAGTCCCCAGAGCGTCGGTGTAATCATCTGGGTCTTTCTTCAACAGGATATTCTTAGAACTCAAGTCGCCATGGACAATGTTGTGTTGGCTGTGCAGGTGGCACATTCCTGAGGCTGTCTCAAGAGCGAGCCGAGCAATGGTGGTCAGCTCAGGTCGACCACTGTCCTTGTTCAATATTCTTTTGGCATCCAAACAGTCCCGCAGTGTCCCACCATCGCAGAACTCCTGTATTATGTACAGCTTCCAATCCACCACACTTGTTGTCTTGATTGAGGTAGAGTCGATGCTGGCACACTTGCTGTCCTTGCACTCCAGCTCCTGTATTGCCGACACCTGCAGCTGCTTGAAAGAGTATGTGTAGGTCTGGACTATGTTTTTGTGCGCAATGCTCGAGCTGATCGCCGCCTCAATGACGGCTCGCTGCCTCTGCCTGTTCACCGCTTCTGGCAGATCCTGAAAGACAACAGTCTTGATAGCCACAGGAATGCCTTTCCAGACCCCTTTGTACACAACCCCTGAGCCGCCAGCTGCTATCTGGGAATGAATTCTTGCTGGCGAGTCTTCGAATTCGACAGCGGCTGTAGAGATGGCACCAATGAGAGATTCCCTTGTGAGTTCATGATGCACAGCATCGCCCTGCCCCTTGCCCTTCGTTGAATGGATGAACTTTGTCCCTCGCTGTGAATGGCCCCCACTAGCTGGGGCCACAACCTCCCCACCAGGTGTTCCATCACACCCTTCCTTTGCCTCACCTTCCCTCTCCGGCTCACCATCCTTCTGTGTCGCCCCCAAATCTGTCGAATCCTTCTTGCCCTGTCTCCTGTATGACTTATACCAGTAAGAGAACAAGCCCATCGTCACAAGCCAGAGAGCTATGCCGCCGCTGACCAGGGCAATGCCAGTTACTCGCGCACTAGATGACTTGCTGCCATCTGACCCAGCATCAGTATCCTGTTCAGACGTTGGTTCATCATAATAGCCTCCTGCACCTTCATGAAATGAGGTGTCCTCCTCCAAGTAGTAACGGTCCTCTGACAATTCAGTGGTTACCTCGGGGTCTGTAGATTCTGTGTTCTCAAACATCCGGCACCTAACATCAGCACCAACGATGAGTGCACCGAGCCATTGGTTCATGCACAACCAGCACGGCAACAAACAGCAGCAAAGCCACACACATGAGGATATGCGAGCTGACTCCATTTGCCAAGCCCAGTTACAGCAGCAGGTAAGTCAGAGGTTGTGGACTTGGGGAAAGGCAGATACCCATTTAGGCAACGCCATTGCAAGAAGAGCCCATCTGGGCATGCTGGCAGGTTTCAGCATCAAGTTAGTGGTGTGGTCCGTTTGCCAAAAGCGTGGTCTCTTCAGCAGTTGGTGCACTTTGAGTCCCAAACTCAATCTGCCAAAGAAAACGAAATAAACTGCTGGGGCAGAGAGAAGACTACAGTAGTGAAGCACTGCCTTGGATTTCTTCGTAATACACTGCAACAGTGATACAAGGCTCCAGAATTAATTCCCAGTGGGAGAATGCCCATCGCCTCGCGCCGTTTTCATCCCGCTGTAATGCCACTCTTCGGGGCAACGGGAGCTCCGAGCTCCTGGACAGGCGTGTTGGACGCCGAAACTGAACGCCAGGCGACGCCCATCCCGCCACACGCGGAGACCTGAACCGGCTCACCTTGGATCTGGCAGCTCCGCGCCAGAGGGCGGCTTGCAGGTCATGGTCACATTCTGAAAGCACATCCCCATGGCGATGAACCTCCTGAAGACGATGGTCTTGTTCGATATGGACTCGAACTCGTACAGCTGCAGGGTGTCGTTCAGCGCCTGCATAAGGCTCGTCTGCGACTGGATGTTGTTCCTGTGGTAGAGCAGCAGGCTGCCAATGTTCTGCACGAACGGGCAGCCGTGCACCAGCACCGCGTCCCGCGCCACAATCAGGCAGGCATTGCTGCGGGCGTCGTGCTTGAAGGCGCCGCGGTGCAGCCGCGGGTACACGTCCGCCAGGTCGGCTTTCTCCTCGATGCACCCCGGGTCGCTCAGGTGGCACACGCTCGTCTCATTCCCCTTGCGCTCCAGCTGCAGCCTCACCGCCGCGTTCACGATTTCCATGCCGTCCACCCTCAGCTGGCTGGCCACGTCCATAAACCCCCTGGGGATGTCCATCTCGAATTCCAGCCGCCGGAAATCCGCGTCGCCCCCGGGAGCGAGGGTCACCGGCCTGTTCACAGCGATCGGGCCCGTCGTCCCGTGCACGTGCAGCAGGAGGCAGTTCGAAATCTTCAGGTCGCGCAGGAAGTACAGGCGCAGAGGCCGGTCCTGGTCGGACCGCCCCCGCCGCACCTTGGCGACGTCCCGCGTCGAGTTCACCGTCGCGGCCTCCACGTGCTCTCTGTCCCCCGGGAGGGCGAACCCGGCGTCGTCCAGGAACACCTCGACGTCCTCGAACTCGGCCCCCCCCAGGCGCACCGACCCCAGGTCGATCCGCTTGTCGGTCAGCGAGAACCTCTCGGAAGTGTCGTTGGCCGGGCCGAGCAACTCCAGTGCCCGCCTGAGGGCCAAGAACGGCCCCGGCGGGATGTAGAACCCCACGTTCGTGTACCGAACCGTGCCTCCGGCCTCGAGCTCGAACAGCATCTCCTCCAGGCGCGCCGCGGGGCCGAAATCAGGGACGGAGAGGTCGAAGATAAGGCTGCACACGGACAGCCGCGCCCCCCGCACGGTCGCCAGCCTCACGCCGTCGAGCGCGGTGAGTGTGGTGCTCCGGCGCTGCCCGCAGAGGGTCAGGTCAGTCTCCACGGCCATCTGCGGCACGAAGGACAGGGAGTCCAGCAGCAGGCCGCGCTGCACGCACAGCGCGTTCATCCCCGCGGATACGCGGGGCATCAGCGCCGCCTGGAGGTCGCGTGGGGATCGTATCACCGCCATGTCGCTCCGGTTCGCGGCTTCACTGCATGCCACCTGGGCGCCGGCCGGCTCGAGCGCGGATGCCAGCAGGAGGGCGGACAGGGCCGCGAGGGCGGCTGCCCGCCCACCGGCCATGGCCCCGTCGGCGTGGCGCCGGAGCTATACTAACAGCGCTATACAGTCCCCGTGAACCAGCCCCAGGCTTGGAGGCTCCGTGCCGAGCTGTAATGCCCGGGAGTACGGGGATTTTGGGCCTTGGGGGAGCGGGGGTTGCACCCACCCGAGGAGGTGTACTAAGCGGGCCCATTCCGCTGCCTGCTTCGGCCCCCGGGCGTTGATGGAGCGCCGCTGGGACGGACGGACGGGGTGAGGGTTCCCCGCGATTCGCCGCTCACTCGTCTTGGGGGCAATTCCCTCTGCTTCTTGGGCGTCTGCTTGGTGGCCGAAGGGGGAGCTGGATGGATTCCCTGTGAGTGTTCTTCGTTTGGGCGGTGATTCAGCGAGTGATCGATTGATTATTGGTCAATTTAAAGCGATGGCTTATGATCAATCCATTGATCGATTGATTGCTTGATGGATTCATTCAGGCTTGTTCTTTACATGGCTAAATACTATCCTATTTATGGCTACTTAGGCGTTAAAACGTTTTTGTACGTTTTTACACATAAAAAGCCCCAAAATTGGGTGAAAATGGGCCCTGTGCACTTAAAGAGAGCACGTACTGACTCAAGAAGTGTGGGGAGTGGCAGCCAGACGCTCTGAAGTATGCGTAAAACGATCTTTTGCTCGGGAACGTTGCTGCCCTAGCTGTGGCCTGGTGTGTGCTGTGTTGCCAGCGCTGGAGAGAGTGGAGGATTGATCGTTGATTGGGAAATCATCATGTAATCTGGGTGTGTCTACGAGCCGTAAATAGACATAAATATGGCTGTAAAATGGCCGTTCCTCTATTTGCGCGTTTTTACGCATAAAACGTGAACGTAAAAATGGGGCCGTAAACGTGAAGACCAAGTCTGGACTCATTGAGCGATTGACCAATTGATTGATTGATCGTTCTATTGATCAATTAATTTTGACTGATTGATTGGTTGGTTGGTTGGCACGTGTGCCACTTTAACTGCTTTCGCACAGGGAATGATTCAATGTGCTGGGATCACAGGGCACACACGCCGCGAGCAAGCCACGAACAGCGGCCGCAACCTCGTGCCGGGTCGCCACGCGCACGCGCTGTTCCGTCCACTCCGTCCGCACGACGGCATGCCCAAAAAAGTTCTGCACCACATCACCGCCGCGAATAGCGCAGCCGCCGGCGGCCCGCGCGCATCACCTGGCACACATCTTTTTGTGCTTGTTGGTATGCCCTTCAGCGAGCTCTTTACGTTTTCGATGCCGTGAACCAGTCTTTCACGCCACGGTCGGAAAGGGCAAGACGGCCTAAGCGCCCAGGCAAGTCGCGTCACCAAGATCCCCGTCTGAGGCCCCGCAACATCATCCATCTCATCTTCCAACCCTCCTCCGCATGTCGGACTTGTCGTAATCCGCGGGCTCTTGCTTGTCGGACTTGTCGTAAAAATTCACCACCGCTAGCCGCTGGCGCCGCGGGGCCGATCGGCGCCGCCAGCCATTCGAATTCTGCTGAGTGGACACAGCTTGAAGAGGCCACGAAGGCGGCGCCCCTCCGCCCCGTTCTCAGGGCGACGATAAGCGGATCTGGAAGCCAATCGGCGCCATGCGATTCCCCCGCCTGGGGTCTTATAATTGGCCAACGCCGGCTGGTGGGAGATACGGAGGATACCACGGAGATGAACCCGAAATCCATAAACCGTGCGGGGATCCCGCCCGTCGCTTGTTATAACGGGCGGCTGGGGCGGTGAACTGAGGGCTCCGTGCGCGGCATGCGGAAGCGGTGATCGGGGAATCCGAATTGTGTTTTTTCAGCGGCGTGGCGGACCCGTTGTCGCGCTGAGCGGGCACAGCTGGGGGCGGCGCCGCACGGCGATCGGCTGCCACGGTTGCCGCGGTTTGAGGATTTTCGTTTTGAAGAAGGGGGAACGCTTGTGGGGGCGCCGCCCTGGGCAAGGCCGCGCGGAGGGCTGGCGCTCTGATGAGCGTGAGCACAGGGCGTGCGCAGTCGGGCGCATCGCGGCGGCGCTGTACTGGCAACAGTGCTTGACGACAGTCACGTACGGTGTACTGGGTTTCAGTACTGTCGGGGGCGGACCGTGGACGGTCGGCGTGGTCGCGACAGGGGGTGACCCCCGCGGCTATCTTAGTGACAGGGCGGGTAATATTACCACCCCTGGCATCAAGTGGCGTTGGGTTGTGATCATCCCCACCCCACTCCAGCGTCAGCCCCGCGTGAGGCCCAGCGCCAAGTCCCACCCGCACGTCGATGCAGGAAACACTGGCAGCCAGCACTTGAGAGTGTGGGGCAGCGCTTCAGTACATGACAAGGATTTTCGACAGCGCGCACATGCAAACAGAAATGAAAGCGTGGGCCAAGTCTTCAGTAGGACAGCGTGAACACCAAACCAAAAAAAGGTGGGACGGGGTGAGTTGGGCTGGGGTTTGGGCGTGGGTGCGGAGGTGGGGGCGGGAGAGAAGCGCCACAGGCAGCAGGCGTCGCCCGCAGCTTGGGAACTGCCACCAGTAGAAAACGGCATTCTGGCGATGCCAACTGTGATGCCACTTGACACTAATTGATGCCATCGCAACTACTTTTATGCCATCGCAGTCACTGCGATGGCGCCCTTTGGTGTCAAAACCGCATCACAGCTGGCATCGCAAGATGGTGTGATTCAGCTAGTGTGCACAGGCGTCGCCAGGAACGGACTTGGGAAAGTGGCAAGGCGGATGGCGCGGGGCTCGCAGATAGGTGATTGTGGCACAGGCACCAGCTGCAGGGGGAAAGCTCGATGGCTGTTTCTGCGAATTGATGCCATCGTGGCAAGTCGAAAGCTTCTCGGCTCGACTTCAGTGGTGGTGGAAGCACTGAAGAGGCGACACTCGGGGGATGGGGTTTGCCAGTGGAAAGAGGCCCGTTCAGCTGTGGTGAAATTGCTCTCAGAAAGCACAGATTTGCAATTCAGCGACGTCAGGGGCCCCACTTTGCCCTTGCTGCTAGTGAATCCCGATGGGTTTTTGCTTTCGGAATCGTGGTAAATCTCGACAAGCTGGTCCTGAAATCAGTGTTCTCATGACAGAATCATGGCAGCTGATTCGGCCATTGCGAGAAGATTATGCCAATGCGGCGAAGTGGCCATTTCCCGTATAGTGGTTTCCTACCTGCCGCGCATCCAGAGATGTGAGTCGCAGTGTGCATTTCAAAATCCTAGTCGTTTCCATTATTGTTTAAATAGTAAGCTGCTGCGTTTTGGGTCCCCTCCCGTTCAATGGTGAAAATGCCTCAATAAAAGGCGATTGAAAGACACAACTGGGTCTTATTTATGGTTGTATGCTGGCAATGCAAACCATGGTAAATTTCACGCGGTTTGCATCGTGAACATCCGATTTTAGAAAACATCCAAATTTTCCAGGTGGTTCGTTCAATCCGCTGTTCAGTTATGAGTGTGACAGAGTAGAAGTAGTACTTTGCATGAATCGGCATTGTCTCGGACGGTTTTGGACGGATAATCACTCATTTTCAAGCGTATGGGAGCGTAAGGCGAGTCTAAGGACGGCAGCGTGCAGCTGGTGCCATGATATGCATCTTGTTTTTGACGTGAATTCCTTTGACTGAATTCGTTAAAAGACTGATCGTCACGGACAATGCTATTGCACCTTTCAAACGATGGAGAGCGCAGAAGCATTCAACCGATGTTCTCTCAATGACCCAGGTCATAGCACCCCATGCTGCCCATTCACAAGGAAAAGGGCTAAATAATACGTTTTCAAACGTGTACAAAGTTTACGGGTTTGGGTTATTTCCGTGTTTTCAGCATGCAGAACACTGGCGAAATGCATATGTATGTGTTCGCAAAAAGTATTATCTGGTCCTTTTTGTGCTCGTGATTTGCACATCGGTAAATGCAGGGCGACAATCCAAGGAAATGTCCATGCTTCCTACATTGCCGACAGAGTGCTGTTCTGAAGTACCAGGTATTAGCACCTGACAATATTGTGACAATATTGTCCTGAAATTACTGGTAACTGACAATATTGTTACAATACTGCCCGGTGAATTGCCGATTGATTTTCTGGAGGCAGTCTTTGAACCATGGTCCAATTCTGCTTTCAAAGATGCCAAAATGGCTACACTTCACCACCGTCGTCATCACCATGAATATTTGCATAAGATTTGAATTCAGTCAGGTCCGCTGCGGCCAAATGCGTTTCTGGTCCGGCGCTTTCGCAGCAAAGTTGCTGGTAAACCATACAAGGAAAATAGCTGCTTGTGCATTGTGCGCTGCACATTGCGCAATGCCAATCATTACAGCACGTCAGCTTTACCTGCCGTAAATCTAGCTGAAAATACTGCTGTGCGCATTGAGGTCGAGAATCACGCAAACGCACACAGAAAGATTCAATCTCGTTACTGTCATTCATTTTCACATGACAAGGCAAGCAGGAAGACCAAAAGTGTCTATACAGACATTTGCATGTGAGCTATATCCCACTGATATCTCTTACAAGCCGCGGGAAGGAACCAAATGTTCGACCAGTGGATATCACGCCCCTTCCACCGCCATTCCCGCCCCCACTCCGGCGCCCGCCAACCCCCGCGGCGCGCCGCCTTTCCCCGAATTCCGC